TGTCGTTGACACACAAAATTTTTGACCCACTTGGTTTGTATGCGCCGATCACAATTATTCCAAAAATGATTTTACAGAAGTCATGGTCTCATAACCATTCTTGGGATTCTGAACTACCAGTAGATTTAGCTAAAGAATTTCAAAGGTGGGCCAAATACATACACCTCATACCTAATATAAAGATTCCTCGAAGATTAACGATATTTAATATAGAAATCGCTAATAATTCTTTTCATATATTCTGTGATGCTAGCCAACATGCCTATGCAGCCTGTGTGTTTCTGAAAACAGAGTACAAAGGCGAAGTTGACATTAATCTTGTAATGGCAAAATCACGTGTAACACCAGTTAAAAAAATAACGATACCGCGTCTTGAGCTTATCGCGGCAACGTTGGCAATAAGACTAGCTCAAACTGTAATAGAGTCACTCAAATTACCAACATATAATATTTACTACTGGACTGACTCGAGTGTTACACTAAGTTGGATAAAAGGCGAAGGAGAGTGGAACACATTCGTTGCAAACAGAGTTAAGGAGATCAGAAAATACTCTTCGCCTGATGCATGGTTTCACATCCCCGGCAACGTCGATCCAGCCGACTTACCGTCAAGAGGAACCGATGCTAAAACTTTAATGGAAAGTGCATGGTGGAAAGGTCCTACTTGGCTAATGTTAGATTCTGAAAAATGGCCGACAGTCAATTTTAATATAGATCATCAAGCCTTTCATGAAAAGAAAAAGAGTTCTGTAATAATGAACAATGTTTGTGTAAATAGTGACTTACTTACTAGATTAAGTTCATATTTTTCATCATATATTAAAATAGTCAGAATGATAGCATGGATTTTCAGATTCTGTTATAAGAATAATCGAGGTCAATCGGAATTAGGGTATGAAGAAATAGAAATCGCTGAGATTCGTTTGATTAAGTTAATACAATGCTCCTATCAAAAACGTATCAGTTCTTTTAAGGTGTTTGAAGATGACAATGGCGTGCTGCGCCTAGAAACTAAATTACAATTTAGTAATGAGCCGTTTGAATTCAAGTCACCCATTATATTGTTCGCAGACGAGATTCTAGTGAAACGACTAGTGGAGGAACGACATAGAACGCTACAGCATGCGGGTGCGTCAACATTGATATCCAATCTTAGAGAACGATATTGGATTGTCGGTATTAGGAAACTAGTTAAAAGAGTAATTAGAGATTGCATTATTTGCAAGCGTTTTAAAGCCAGCTCGTACGTTACTCCTGCAGCTAGTCTTCCTAAAGGACGCGTAGAAGGCAACGTCCCCTTTGAAGTCTCGGGAGTTGATTTAACGGGTCCCTTGTTACTTAAATCTGGTAATAAATGTTGGTTGGTTCTTTTTACATGTGCCACATATCGTGCCATACACCTGGATATCGTTGAATCGCTCTCAACAAATGACTTTATTCTTGCTTTACGACGGTTTATCGCTCGCAGGGGAAGAGTGAAAATAATGTATAGCGACAATGGGACGAATTTTCGTGGACTCGACAATCTACTGAAATCTCTCGACTGGAACAGTATTTTGAGTTTCTCGTCAGTAGTAAAAATCAAATGGATATTTATACCTCCCGGTTCTCCCTGGTGGGGAGGATTCTATGAGAGGTTAATAGGTTTAGTGAAACAAATTTTGAGAAGAATGCTAGGGAAGGCATCTCTGTCTCTCGTGGAGCTGCAGACAGTTCTCTGCGATTGTGAGGCTGTGTTAAATAGTCGACCATTAACATACATTTCAACTGATCCAAATGAGTTAAAACCGTTGACCCCAGCATGTTTCATTCAGCCGTTAGCTGAATCGTCAGTGCCTGAGTTGGACGCAGTTGATAGAAATTCACTTAATTTACGAATGAGGTATTGCCAGAAACTTCGTGATGACTTTCGCCAACGATTCCGAAGTGAGTATTTAGGTATGTTGATTCAGCGGACGAAAGGTGGTTCAGATTCTCTTCAACCTCGTGTAGGAGACGTAGCCTTACTAGAGACGGATGAGAAGCGAATTAAGTGGCCCTTATGTAAAATAGAAGAACTTTATGAAGGGGCTGATGGTGTCAAACGGGTAACTAAGGTACGCACGGCGTCCGGGGTAAAGGTACGTACCGTGCAGAGACTCTTCCCTCTGGAAGTATCTGAACCAGATGACATTGACAGTATGACTGATCAAATCACTGACAATGAACAAATGACCAGGTCAGGGAGGGTAGTAAGACCACCTGCTAGATTAATTAAACAAATGTAACCTCCCGGTTTTTCCTGGCCCGGAGTATGTGATGAAATCTATATCCATAGTTCCTGACCATGGATGATCCTTTGTTGCCTAGCAATAAGTAGTTTATAATTTTCCTATTTTTTAATGTCAATTGTGTATTATATATTAAAGGATTTGATTCCGCAAGATTCCATCTTTGTATTTTCCAATAGGGCTGATCCACTTTTCCATGGCTCTGTCCGGGAGGTCTGGTAGGGCTTTACCCCTCTTAACCTGATATAGCCTGATCTGTTCCTGGGCAGCACCCCAGCCAACAGCGCCGCCGATATGTGGGAGACCGTCCTGTGGGCCTTTGAGATGAGGAGGGAGAACCTCCTGGTGAGGCTCTCTAGTATTTTGTTATTTGTTATTTTGGCGGACGAGTCTGCCCACACATTAGCGGCGTACGGGACTGTGGGTTCCAGGACGGCCCCGTATATCATTCGCAGCACCCCTGAGTTCAGTCCCCACCCCGCAGACGCTGTTCTGGAAACCTTTTTTGCAGAGGCCCACCGTCTTGGATTGAATATTCTTTAGGTGGGGGGTAAAACTAAGGCGGGAGTCCACTGCACTGCAAAAGCAGTTAAGAGATATCAGATGAACGGCATATTTTGTTGCTGTAAGATAAGCTGGTTAGATATGAAAAAATATAAGCCCTTCATGGGGGGCTAACTACCCTTATTCTTAGATATCTCAGATTTTTCGTATCTCGTGAACTAAAGGAGCTAGCGGCACGAGACAAACGGCGTATTTTGTTGCTAAAAGCTAGGCATGCTGCGTACATCATAATCACAACCCTTATCGGGGTAGGACCAAACCCCGACCCCGAAGACACCAGATATTTCGTTTAGTTCACGAGATACGAAAAATCAGAGATATCTAAGAATAAGGGTATTTAGCCCCCATGAAGGGCTGATATTTTTCCATATCTAACCAGCTTATCTTACAGCAACAAAATATGCCGTTCATCTGATATCTCGTAACTGCTTTTGCCTCCGAGATATCGCTGTGGTTTCGCTAGCGTAACAGGCGTTTTTCGGAGAAATCTTGGAGCAATAAAATCAATTCTTGCGGCACAAAATAGCAACAAATTAGCAACAAAACACTATATACCTTAGGATATGGACTTATGAAATTGTTACGCTAGGATAATATACCTCACATTCCTCGCTCCGCGCGTGTTAGTAACTTTTTGTTTTGAGTGTGTTTGCCGTTTGTTGCAGATATCCTATACAGCGTCACCGGGTTTGGGGAGGGCGAGATCCATAAGAGACCTCAAGCCGAGAATTGGCGAGTGCCTTTAGATCCCCACGAGGAGAGGCTTCTCTCGTCTGGAGCCTCTAGACCACTCATGCCTGCGGGGGTCAGCTCGACTAGAGGTCGTCTCTGAGACTCGGACCTAGACTCAAGTTAGCCGTTGTCGTGGGGGATTGTTAGAAACGCGTGTCGCCGGCGCGCTTTTATACTATAGAGCAGTTTGTTGTCGTTTGTTCCGCGAGTCAAATTACATACATAGAATACAAGTAAAGCGCTGACTTCGCCCATGCAAGTGGGCCATCGAAATTATTGCCACACGGCGGAAATGCTGTCGCTGCGAAACGTGAACTTAGCGCCGCCGCGTGACCGCCGTCGCCGCGACACCAGGGCCATCGTCATCGGATCACTTTGATTCTCACATCGATCGGGTCAATAGGTTTTAAATAATATAATAATTGTAATTTCTTTATTTCTAATTAAATTTGTTATAAGTAATTTCGTATACCAGCCCAACTTTCCGGGATGCCGTTTGAATTTATTATAGTGGCGGCGGGGCCGGTAATTTTATTAAGAATTCCATTTAACAAATAAAGATTATTTAATCGACCATTTGGATCCTCGCTCAGAAATTCTTGACACATTTGGTCGCAGATTAGGTCTGGGTTCGATTCCATGGCTACTACTTCAAGAATATTATCTAAACTATTTTCCATAAATCTACAATTATCGACTAAATATCTTCTGCGAGACTGCTGATGTGAAGCAGAAACGCGCAACCCAGAGTTTCGTGGGTGGAAAATGGTGAAAAATTAAAAGGACTTACAAGATAGGACAGGAGGCAACACGAGAACGATTCAAGTGTACTCACATAAACATTTCGGCTCTCTTACGTATCGATTTCTGGATACTTTCCCTCTGGCTGCTCCTTCAGGTTCAGGATACTCGTGCCGTGACTTGAAAGCCACTCGGGCGGCTCGTGCAACGAACGGAAATCTTCCTGGATGTAGCGCGAAACCGACCGCGAATATCCTAATCTTAAAAAAAACCGAAATTACTTATAACAAATTTAATTAGAAATAAAGAAATTACAATTATTATATTATTTAAAACCTATTGACCCGATCGATGTGAGAATCAAAGTGATCCGATGACGATGGCCCTGGTGTTCACGTTTCGCAGCGACAGCATTTCCGCCGTGTGGCAATAATTTCGATGGCCCACTTGCATGGGCGAAGTCAGCGCTTTACTTGTATTCTATGTATGTAATTGTCACTACACACACGCGTCTGTATTGCTACAAACGCAAGTCGATGGCTTGGATGGTTCAATAAACGTAATGTGCATTACTTTATAAAACAATCGATCAAGCATCGAAAAGTACAATACATTGTGAATACATTAATTTATGATTTAATGTTTTCAAGGAAAAGATATAAACAAAAAGAATCTTGTGATGAATGAACTTACCTCGGCATCTTTCAGCGCTGCTCTACTTGCATAATAAGGGCAAGCCTTCGTTTCCTTTCCATTTTTCACTAGGTCTTCCATGTCCATTATATCACACAATATTTTTTCCTTCAATTTATCAATGTTGGACTGACTGTAATATGGACAGGCTGCACACGACTTTGTTTTTGTTTTTTTTATGACTTTACCGTCTTCTGCTGTGGCTGTTGCTTTAGATTTAGATTTTTGCATATCAAGACACCTGCCAAAGATTACTGACAATTAACAATGCAACTGCCTGTATTATCTGAGATTTCAAAATAATAACCAAAAGTTATATGAAAGTGATTTTGTAGTTAAAAGAGAGAAACCTTTCATTGATCAGATTAATATTTTTCAACTTTGAAACATTAGGGTTAATACAGTAGTGCTGTCTGGAAGCTAAAGTTACTACTCGGGTGTTATCCTTAAACACTGTCCTTTTGATTTCACCTACAAACTGTGACAACTGGCTATGAGTTCTACTACTTATGTATATCTGAAATAAAATGTAAAAGAACACTTGAAATTTTAAGTGGTATATAGATAATCCATTCCAACAAGCATTTTATGCAAAACATAATTAAAAATAATAGGTATAATCTAACAGGTGGCATTATAATAAATTTAAAGTTATCATACTTTAGTAGTATCTTCCTCTTCTTGTTCCGATACATCCTCATCTGTCTCATTTTCTTCTTTATCATCAATTTCATCAAGGATAAGATCTGCATCTTCATCATCATGGGGTACATTGTCAGTACTATCAAATTCAACTGTTTTACTTTTATCCACATTTTGGAAATTAAACTCTTTAGGCTTTCGTTCTGAATTGTTTTTTTGTTTCTCAACCCTCACCTTCATCTCAACAAATTTTTCATTATACTTTTTTATTTTATCTAATTTAAGTTGAAGGGAAGCTAATGATTGGTTTTTCTGTATTTTTTCATATTCGGCTACAAGCCAATCTTTATCATCTGAAAAAAGAGATAGCACACCACTCATCGGACTTGCATACTGCTTACATTGAGTTAGTCAATGTGGAGACAATGAAATCATCCTTCTAACTAATTATCTCTGTTTTGTTATAGATTTAATTTGAAGGCAACTGTTGATCATTTTAATGTGTTTCAAATAAATGTATGTATAAAACTGTATGATATTACCAAGCAAACCTACATATGACTCTACTCAATACATTGCTATGCAAATGATAGTACAGTGCATGTGGGATATTTGGGAAATACTGGACAGGTAGAAATTAATTACCAAAGAAAAACAAGGGAATATTCTCAATAAGCTCAACCTAGTTTTGATTCACACAATAGGGTTCCCAAAATTTGTTTGTGTCCAGAGATAAGAAAACCCAGGTTTGCACTTTCACATGACGCAAAAATGTTGCCACTTTCCTCTGCTTTAGAGCCCAACACTTGTGCTACAGAGCAGCAATACCAACAGTAATAGAAGTATTGGTTTACAAGGAGTGCTGGATTAGACTGGGTATGGATTACTGCAGGGTTGCTGTATATAGTTTTTATCTTGTATTCATTATTTCTGTGAATGAAGTATCGGAAAATCTATCAGTACAAATCAGAAACTGGGATATAGGTATGTATGTGTGCTGAAATCTTAACATTTCTTATGTTTTCCTGAATGCTAGTTACTAGTATTCAATAACATTGATTAAATTTTTACCTGTAACAGTCAATAATTCTTGTTGCAATGTCTTTATTTGATTTTCCAGATCACAAATAACTTTTTTGTTGTAGTCTTTTAACCATTGCAAAGCAGAACAGCATATGCTTAAGGATTTACCCTGGAAACATTATAATATTTTATATACTTTCATGGAAATACTTGTTATGAACATCCTGAACAATTAATAAAAATACACTTACAGTTCCAGTAGGACTCTCAAAGATACCATGTTTTCCGTTTTCCAAAGTAAAATATAATTCTCTCATGAATTTTTCTTGGATAGCATAAGGTTGAAATGGAAAATAAAATGTGGGGTTACTATTTTCTATTTCCATTGCTATCTGCTGTTGCTTGCTTCGTGCCTCGTCGGTAGAGAGTATATACGAAATATATGTTCTGTGCTTTGTGCTTAGTTATTGAGGTTTTAATATGTAGTATTTATGAAATAAGGATAATACTATAATCTGTAACTTAACCGATATAATTATGTCACTATGTACGATATAATGATGAGATAGTAAAACTACGAATGTTTTCTTCTTCTTTTTCTCTTTTGTGGGTCTTCGAATGTCGAATTCCAATACTTTTGTATTTTTTTTGTAATTTGCCCAATTTTTTTGGCGGGAGTTTAATTTAAAAATTATAATGTCAGTGTCATTTGTCACAGTGACTCTCATATTTTTTTTATTCTGCTTCCGTAAGACCAAAGAAATAAAGTTCATACAGTATCGACTTATATACATTTTTAAATCTTTCCCTATTTTACAAGCTTTTATTTAATTTGTACTGTTCGTATGTAGATATGTAGCATCAAAATATGTAAACAATTCTTCAACCACTACTTACTATCCGATTTAGCTGAAATTCGCCATAAATAAGTAAGTCTGGTGATGATGCAATAATGTGATACCATGTAGCCTTTTTTAATATTATTTCATTTCATTAATTCATCAAATGCGGTTTGCCCGATATTTTGTTTGTACCTACTTCAATTCGATCACAGTGGATATTGTAAAGTATGTATAAATATGGTTATAATACCGCCTGCGCAACCAGGGTCGTCTTAACCATATGCGGCGCCTGGGTGCGAAAGCTAACAATGCGCTTCTTTTTTCAAAAATTTTGACTAATTAATTGTTCATTGGGTAGAGTGCTACCAAAATATAGAAAAAATGAATCACATAAATAAGCATGCATACGTATGTATTATGGTATATGTATGTATGTGTGTATGTCATGCCTCTCCCCCAGAGGGGTAGGCAGAGTAGGCAGACAGGTAACAGAATGACAACTAAGTGTTGATCTTTACTTGAGTACAGTTAGAAAGGGATATCGCTATGTGCTATATATAGCGACATCCCTTTCTAACAATGCTCAAGACTAGATCAATCATTGAGAATCTTTCTATAATAAGGGCCTAAGTATTAATAGAGGTCTACTAAAATGAAAAATACTGAGTGCAAATTAAAAAGTAAAAAAAATGAGACAAACGTATGTATGTCCAAGCAAGTTGAAGGGAAGGGATACACTCTTGTCATGAGTTTCTGGTAGACCTACCTATATTAACTTATTCTAATATAATAACTTTTATTATCAATCAACTTGACCTTGACCGCCTCTGAAATGATTATGTCTGATTTTTGTTAACTCTTATTCACAATAGAAAATAGCCATGCCACATTATATTGGGATCGATCTATCATTACAGACAGGACTATTGTGGCTAATAAGCCCGTTATTGTATTGATAGATCGACACGAACGCCGTGCAGTAGTTGTTGATGTCGCTGTCCCCCATGACGACAACCTTGTAAAAGCTGAAAAAGACAAAGCAAACAAATATCTTGATTTAGCTCGCGAGATTGTTGACATGTCGGACATCGATTCAGCAATTGTTGTGCAGATAATCATATCTGCCCATGGTTTGATAGCCAAGATAAATACCTTAAGAGGCTCGCGTTAGGTGGTTGGGTCAAGAATCAGATGCAGAAGGCAGTACTCCTGGACACGGCCCGTATAGTGAGGAAGTTCCTGTCACTGGATCCTTAACCACCGGTAGCAGGGTCCCTGATCTTGCTGCCGATGGGGAACTGCATTTTTGTATTTTTAAATGTTATTTTTTTAATGTTATAAATTATAAAAAATTCATATTTAGAAATATAATTTTGTATGTATTTTTAATGAAATAAAGAAAAAATAAATAAAATAATCATTTATTTCAGACCGTACAGTTCATAGAGGGTTAGTAACATTAAAACTTAGAAACTATGTTAGTACAATTCTATTTTAACTATTTTCTATATTTAATATATGTGGAGACATGAGATTATACCCAATGACTCCACAACGGACTCTCCAATTGGCCTGCTATGACGGCCAGGATTCTGTTAGAGCTACCCCTGACTTTGTGCATCAGTGACGCTACTCTTTTGCGCATAAAAGCGAACCTAGTAATCAGTGGTGGCGCTAGACCACATGTGGACGTCGGCGACATCAAGTTCGCGAGGCCTATTTTACTTCGCAGAAAAAAACCGTTAAATTAAGTGAGCCAAATTATAAAATAACGTATGAATAAACGAGTTTTATTGTTGATTCATAGAGTTGCCAGACAGACGATTCTGAATACCCGTAAAGTACTACTCGCTTCCATCACGCACGTGTTCGAAATTAATAAAAGTCATTATCATCTGCTTAGCTTTTTCCCCGAATTGTTCGGGGTCGGCTACCTAAGCCAGGCCAGGAGAAACGAAAATAAATAGGTAACTTGTAAAATTTTTTTGCGAGGCCCCAGGCGCGAGGCCGTCGGCGGTGGCCGACGTCGCCGACGCCTAGTGCCGCCACTGCTAGTAATCGTCAACATGGGCGTCAGCAAACACCATGAATCGAGCAGCCGATTTTGGTGCTGTTCAACTCCTCAACCATTGTCATACTGGTCATATTTTGTCCATGTTAAAACGGAGTGCTTTTAGAGCATCCACTTGACTTTCCCTTCGCATGTTTGACAGAGGTTTAATAATCAAAGTTGGTTTTTATTTACAGAAATAAAAACGTAAATTTCCTGTACTACTGGGAAGAAATTGGTAATATGTACATAGAGAACTTTTAGCTGTGTCATTGACCACAAGGTTAAGACTGTGGGCAGCACACGGAACGTAAAATGCGCGAGAACTCATATCCAGTTTTTTTTGGATGACTATATTTTTTCCTCGCATATTTGAACCGTTGTCGTAACCTTGGCCACGCAAATCATTGAGTTCAATATCAAAAGATTTTAAAAAATCAAGAAAATAATTTGCCAAAGCCTGTCCAGTGATAACAGTGACTGGTAAAAAAAACCCCTAAAAATGTTCTCTCTTATTTCAGGAAGCTTGGTTGAGAGGTTGTTATATACAAATCTTACAATCACGGGTAGTAAATAAATAAATAATAAATATTTCCAACGCTCACACCAATTAGCCTAACCCCAAAGTAAGCACTGTAAAGCTTGTGTTATGGGATGCTAGGGTAACGGATACAATACATAGTGTACATATATAACTATATTTATATAGAAATGCATATTAAACGAGGCAATGAGGAGCTCGATGGCGCAAGTGGTTAGCGCGTTTGGCTGCGATCGTTGGAGTTAAGCAACTTTCGCAGTGGTCGGTCATTATATGGGTGACCAAAAATTTACTATCTCGAGTTCCTCCGTGCTTCGGAAGGCACGTTAAGCCGTTGGTCCCGGTTGCATCTGCAGTCGTTAGCACCCGCCAATCCGCACTGGGCCCGCGTGGTGGGTCATGGTCCAATCTCCCTATTCCATCCATAGGGAAGACCTGTGCCACAGCTGTGGGGACATTAATAGGCTGATGATGATGATGACGACATATTAAACATCCCTGACTGGAATACTTAAATGCTCGTATTCACCACACAAACATCCGCCCCCACCGGGATTCGAAATCGGGATCTCTCGAGTCGGCGACACCATGAAACCCGGCGGAAATTATATCAATCAATTCGTTCTGTATATTGTGGCCAAGGTAATGTGGCAAGCGAAGTTGAGCACTTTGAATTCGAGCAATGTGTTCTGACAACATACTCATTGTCAAATATAGAAATACATTCTACTAATTTCAACAAAAATAAATTTTGTTGAGGTAAAAACCTAATTATGGATATTATTTAGGCGCGCGAATAGAAACAAACACTTTCTTTGAGTTTGACAGAGATGACTGGAAAAACGTAGACAATCATTAAAACTGACTGTAGTGGCGATTCTGGCATGATTTTCTTCCCTGTTATTCTCTATACAGATTGAAAAGAAGAGACTGGTGTTAAATTTAGTTTTAAGTTTAGAGAATCATGTCAGAATCGACACCTGTATGTACTTAAACCGTAAGTTTTAATTTTATTTTTAAACATTTATTTAAAGTAATATTTATAAAATTGTTGTCGGGTAAGGCAAGTAGGTAGGTAGGTACTATCTACCACCAGATTCATTCAGATATTGATCGCCCGGCCTGGCTGGCGCCCGGGTGCGGCCGCACCCACCACTCCTATTGGAAAGACGCCCCTAGGCACAACTGAAGAATTAATAAAATCTATCAAATATACGCTATTTTTGAGCGTGATACGAGTAATAAAACTAAAGATAAGCTGTATGGGCATTGTTCTCTTTGCCTTCCCTAAAACAGGAGAATGGAGAATGTTAAAAAAATTACATCAACTTAGCGCTTTTTGCGCCAGACTTAGCGTTTTTTTTTGTGTCCAAGCACGTTTAAACGCCTAGCGCTAAATCTAGCACTTTTTTAAATTTTATTTTATGAAACTTTATTACTTAACACAGCGTAAGTCATAGTAATTACCAGTACTAAATATAATTATTACTACCTACTACCAACATTAGTGTCGATTCTGGCATGATTCTCTAAACCTAAACTTAAATTTGGCAACAGTGTACCCTTGTCATTCTCTATACAGAATGAAAAACAGAGACTGACTTTAATTTAGTTTTAAGTTTAGAGAATCATGTCAGAATCGACACTATAGACAAACAAAAAAAATGACCATGTTTTAATCATAGAGTCATCATCTATGAGAACGATTTGTCTCGTGGTGTTCGCCTCGCGTATTATTTTGTATTCGAGCGACGCACGCTAAGCGACCCTCTAGGTTTTCCTGGAGATTCTTCCATTGATAACAATGTGGCACCCTATAAAATTCAATGAGAATGTGAATACAAGAAGAGGCCATAAGTGATAATGATCAACAAGAAAATGAGTTAACTCCAATTTCGTCACATGCCCAGGCATTATCAGTAGTTTATGATTTAAGACGCTATGTAACTGTAAATTATGTTGAAAATCTTGTAAAATTGCTAATGCCTCAAAATCTTTTTACCATATAAATTTATTTTAACTTAAACGGTAATCATTGTAACGAATAAAACAGTAAAACCATTTACGCCAAATATAGCGCTTTTTTCTAAAAAGCCATTTTAGAGCATTCTAACGCTTTTTTATATCACATAGCGCGTTTTCGCTAAGACTAGTGGGCAGCACTGATATCAAATATCAAATTCATTGCCAATAAATAAAAAAAAAATCAAATTCAAATATTCAACTGACAATGAACTAAAGACGAGGCTGTATGGGCTTTAGTTCCCCT